TTTGTATACATATTTAAATATAAAATTTAGTGACTGTGCAGGTGAAATAAATAAAAAAGGAAGAAAAAAAAATTGAAAAGGTAGAAATTTCGTAGTTGTACGCTTATTAAAATTGCAAAAGGTCGATGAAATCACGTAAACGTATATCGGAAAAGGCAAAAATATATTAAACTATCTTTTAAATACATAATGTTAAATCATATAGTTTAAACTTTTTTTCTACTTTCTAACCTATAATATATGTATGTTGCATGATTTATCATATCTTTTGAAAGTTTTTAAATAGACTGAGAAAATATAATCTCACGTAAGCTAGATAGATTGCATTCATATAATGATTTCATTAATTTTTATATTCAGTTCATTTCATAAATTTAATCGTCACAATTATTTTTATCATATATAATCTATCACATTCTTTTGGGAGTTCGTAAATAAATCGAAAAGATTAACATAAAATGAATAGATTCAGCAGTCTTCATTTTAATTCATAATTTAATTTCGTATTTGTGTGAATATGAATTGTCACAATGTTATTTCATTAAAGTTAAAAAAGGAAATGAATGCATGCGATAATAATCATTGATTGCATTATTTAGGCAAAAGAAGCAAAAAAAGAAACAACAACGATAAAAACAAGAAATTATCACCAAATGTCATCTTTTCCTCCTCTTGTTGTTTTTTTTTTTCACTTTAATATCAAATTTAATAAATTAAAATTATAAAAAAGTTGAGAAAATTATCGAAAAAAGAAAAAATTTTAGAGGAATGAAAAATAAAAATATGAAACTTTTCGTGAAAAATTTCTCACAAAAAAAAAAGAATAGGATGGAAATTCTTTCACCTTTTGTTTTTCTTTTTTTTTTTTGAAATTTATCGATGTCTTTACGAAATGCATATCAGTGTATGTGTGTATGTGTATGTATATGTATGTGTGTATGTGTGTATGTGTATTTGTATGTATGTGTGTATGTGTGTATGTGTGCATTAATGGAATGTATTTAGCAAGCAATCGAGAAAATGTGTTGCACTTATTAAGCCATTTTTCCCTTTTTTTTCCATCAATATGATCCTAAAGGATGGAATAAATGGAGGAGGAAGGCAGAAACTTATCTGACAGTAACCATTACTTCCGAGTTTCACACTTTCAATCGATCCTATCAACTATTCATTCTCGAAACTATCTCACATACATACTCACATATATATGTATACACACACACACACACACACACACACACACACA